TCTTGATGGCCTGGATGTAACGTGGATGGATCTTTTCCAGAAACAAGTACAAGGTATCTCGGTTGGCGATGTCCCATGTGTTGAGAATATAGGGGAGGAGTGCTGCTTCGCTCTGGATCTGGGTACATACAGCTAGGAGGGGAAAAGCGGGCATGTCGCGCTGAAAGAGACGCAGCGACTTTTGGGACGGTACCAGGCTGAGGGTGCAGTTGCCGAGCGCGTAGTGGTAGATGAGGTTTCGTAGCTCTGCTGGTAGACGGAGGAGAGGAGAGTTCAGTTGGTTCGCCGCTGTAGCTTCGGCTTTCGTGATTTGCGCCATCGTTTTAGCTGTCGGGACGGGTATGGGTATCGCGGCCGCTATTTGGGTTGAGCGGTTGTGGTGGTGGCGTGGTCGTAGAAGTGGGAAAGTGCGAGGAAGCTTGGGGGTGCACGTGCTTGCTAAGAAAGGTAGTCAGGCAAGTGAAGGAGAAGACAACGTTCCAGATCTAGTTGGTGATAGATAACGAGTGCATTGTTTGACTTGGCGAAGGTAGAACAGAAGAGAACCTTTGAAGTCTTTAATTTTGTCTTATCTTGTAGGAAGATGAGCTTGTGGCTGATCATCGATCTCAGTAAGCTTTGCTGGAATAAAACACCTGCACACCATCTCATTTCAAGGCGCCCCTACTCCCTTTCCTTTCCCAGTGCTCATAAGACTGCCCATTGCGTGTCTTTAAAAGACAATTGCTTCTTGCTCTTCGGCCTCCTCTTGACGCTCAGTCCGGAGTGTCTCAGTAAAGCTCGTCTCACTGCTCAATTCGGAGTGTCTCATCAATGCTATTCTCACTGCCCAATCCGGTTCCCTAGGTATAAACTTGTATGTCGAAATTTTGACACCCGGTACATCATTTCGCAGACCATCCGCCAAAACCCGCAACCCGTCCTGATATCGGGGAAGCTTTAAATGATTGTCTGAACAGCTGTGTTTCAACCTAATTTGCTCCAAGCCCTTGAACTTCGCGAGTGAGGATGCAACGCGGGGATAATGAGTGTCGATGAAGCAGAGTGGGATTTCCAGCGTTTTGATAGCTTCGATGGACGATTTAGTCATGCTAGTAACGAGGTCGTTGATCATGGTCGTCGATACAAGGTCGAACACACTGAGGCTGTAAAGCAGCATCCCAGCCTCGGCGGTGATCTGGGTGCATACTTTCAATAGCCCGAATGCTAGTGCAAATTTGTCGCGATATAGTACTAGTACTTTGTCGCCGCGTAAACTCAACCTGATTCTCTGGCCGCCCAGCGCGTACATCCAAATCTGATTTCGAAGTTCGCCCGGTAGGCGGAGAAGAGGAGAGTTCTGTTGATTTGCGGATGTTATCTGCGCCGTTGTTTGCGCTGTTGATATGGATTTGGACATTTGCAGTTGAGTGGGTGGAGTTGTCGGGTGCTGCAATCACTGTACTTTTATGAGTGGGAGAAGTCACAAGTATCGTTAGAGCGCAACTGGGTTTTGGAGTACAGGCGATGCCAAGACATTAGAGGAAGTGAAAGAGAGCGTTTGCAAGGCCGTGCACTGCGATAGCCTACTATATCGGTAGTGACACACCTTGATACGTATTTATATAGGCAGTGATTAAGAAGAAAGATATTCTTGACGGGATCCCGGGAAGGAGGGACAGTCAACGATCCTTCTAATTCTGCATGTAAGTTGACTTTGGCTAATCCTCCTCATCCGGCAACTTTACCAGAACACAATTCCGGGAAACTGCACCTTCGATTGTTTTCATCCATCTCGATGCTCGAAAGTCTCGAAAGTCATCCCGACATGGTGTAACAGTATCTCGAATCCTACTATTCGTCCGACCACATATGTCAACTGCCGACCGTCTCAGTAATGTCCCGTACATTTGTCTCCCATGCCAACGTCCCACTTCGTAATCTTGACATCAGGGATCGTTTCCCGCAGTAGTTCGGCAAAATAACCCACACGAAACAAGTCGGAGTTCCTCGACAAGAAAGACTTTGTATTGTAGCGTATCCTGATTTCCTTCAGACTTTTGCATTGAATCAGATGAGGTGACATGTGATCTGGACTTCTGCAGACGTCTTTGATTTGAATAATCAGTATCGTAAGAGCTTCAAGCTGCGATGTACTGATACTACTCAGGAAAGCATTGATGCTGCTGTCGTCTGTGCAGAATTGGAAGACGTTGAGGCTGTATGGGAGAAGGGCGGCCTCGGCGTGGATCTGTGAGCACACTCTCAGTAGTGCGAAGCATGGAGTAGGCGCCTCTGGATAGAGGCGTGGCTTCCGTGGGTGAACAAGCTCACGTGTTGTTCCTAACAAGACTCTATGGCCGCCTAACGCGTATCTATAGATCTGGTTTCGTAGCTCGGCGGGAAGGCGGAGAAGGCGGGAGTTGCGTTGGTTCGCTGATATTTCCTGCGCCATTATTGAGTTGTTGAGACGGGCCCGGGTATTTGGCGCTGTACAGTGTGTGTGTGGAGCGGTATTTTGGCTTAGCCTTGTAGACAGGAAAGTGAGAGGGTGTGTGGAGGTGGAGACAATGCTTGAAATAGCTGTGGGAAGGGACAGGGTGTATGCACGACCGTGCACTAGGAGTGGGGGTTAGAACTCTTCTAAATCTGCATGCAGGTGAATTTTGACTCATCCTTAATGCTAGGAGATTTGCTAAAATGAACCCCCTTAAGACACATCTCAGGTATTCTTAGTTCTTATCTACACTCAGTGCTTGTGAAATCGCCTGTGTGATGTCGTGAAACCATTCTGCTTCTACTCTTCTTTTGATTCCTACTGCTCATTCCAGCGACTCAGTACTTCGTGATACTGTTCGGTGCTCTGTTGTCTTTCACCAACCAAACCTTGAGATTAGGCATCGTTTCCCGTAGCAGTCTCACCGTCTTCACCAAATGAGCCTCGCCGATATCAGTCCATCTCTTTCCATGGTAACTAGCTGGTCCACCGTAGTACAGTACGTTGAGCTCTGATAAGCCCTCGCACTGTCTGAGAAGCGAAAACATATCGCGATATTTTCCTGATGAGGTCGAGAAGATGTCGCAATATAGTCCCAGGTATTTAATGGCTTTTACCTGCCATGTGAAGATGCTCCCAAGCAAGGTCTTTGCTGTGGTGAAATGAGTGAAGTAGAAGAGATGGAGGCTGTATGGGAGTGTTGCGGTTTCTGCGTAGATTTGGGTACATGTACGCAACAATGTGAAGGAGACGTGTAGAGGTCGAACCAAGCGTGGCTCGTTAAGATATCCTCTCTCCTTGTTGCTCCATTGTAGTTTTGCCATGAAACAGAATGTAAGGCGGCCTAGCGCGTAATCGTAAATCAGGTTTCGAAGTTCAGCGGGTAAACGGAGAAGAGGAGACTTGTGTTGGTTTGCTGCTGTGCTGTCTCAAGATCAGCTCTTATCGTCGTCGCAATTGGTTTTGCACTCATGATACGTACATTCGAGCCCGAGCTTCATCAGCTTTGGTATCTTGCGCCATCTCGTGAGCAGCCTCAGGCATATCTGGCGTTGTGGGATTGGAACTCAATTGTGTGGCGGGAAATGGGTGCCCAGGCGGTGTTGTGATCCAGGTAGTTGCTACCTAGGTAAGTGAGTGAGTGAGCTTGGACCTAAACTTGGAAGTGGAGATGGGGCCGAAAGCGGTAAGAAAAATGGAGAGGTGTGTTTGCGCGACCCAGCGCTGAGACGCTAATACAAGTCTGACCTGAAATCAGCGCAAGCTGTGCAGTTCGCATGCATACTCTGATGTTACCTGAGTATCTAAATTACGGCACCACCAAGGGTGGCTGGATATGTGTCGCATCTTACTACATACATGCAATTGAGTCTGAACAAACAAATATCTTCTTAAGGTTGTGTATATCTCCAGCTTGATAACATTGATGTACAACCGCGAACATTCCTCGTGTGCCCAACCTAGCCTATTCTTCGATTATGACAGTAACACCCTCCTTCATAGACCTCATCGTCTCCGCTAGCGCCCTGATATCATGTTGCTCATTGTGGGCCCCAGAACCTGCTGCTGGAGGAACCCTCGCTTTCTCGATGATGATAGTTTGCAAGCCTTCCAATTTCTCCAGTTCCTCTATCTTAATCCACCTGCCGTGCTCCCCAAAGTTCCAGAAAGACCGCTCCAACATAGCACATCTGCGTGGTTTAAGCTGGATCGTACGTATGAGTTTGCGTTTAGCGTGGGAGCATCGTAAGAGGAAGTTGCGCATGGCGAGCTCGTGGTCGAATGCAAAGACGCAGTAGGGGTACTGTAGCATGGCAGCTTCTTCAGAGATCTGCTTGCAGACGAGCAGTAGGCCAAGGGTACTTTCCAGTGGGAGGGGTCGCAATAGGATCTCGTGAACCTGGCCGCTCAACACGTATCTAGCACAGATGAGAAGATTAGTGCATGTTCGTAATTTTTTGAGTGATGCGAGAGAAGGTCTATTCACTTGTAGATCTCATTTCGCATCTCGGCTGGGAGTTGTAGAAGAGGGGACTCGGTAGCGTTGCGCGTAGTTATATTTGTGTTCTCTCCATGCGACAACAGAGGTGCTGAGTTCGCATTGGCTGCGCGCGTTGCGTCCGCCATCGTGGTTGATGTGTCGGTGCTAAGAGAAACAGAATTAGGAAGTTGCATTCCGAGAATGGAATCACTGGGTAGGATCGTTAGCGCTGTGGGAAAGAAGAACTGAGGGTCCATTGCGCTAGGCCGTAAGTCGACCGCTCCTTCATTCACTGGGGATTCACCTAGTCTCGAATCTGGGTCGTTGAGTAGGTAACGAGGATATTCTACCAAACTAAAACCATTCACCCAGCCAAACCCAGTAACTTGAATATTGCGATTACCAACGAAGAATAAGCCATTCACGACTCCCGCAATAGCGACGACGCAAACGACACTGGAAATACCCGCAGCTGAACGTCTCGGCAACTAATGTTTTCCACATCAGTCACACAAAAGCTAGCGTGCGCCTGGCCATATCCTACTACTCCAGACGATGAAGCTCAAACGCCAACTCAACATCCTTGGGTGCGAATTTCAGAAGTCTAGGACCCAAGCCAGCCTCTATCCGCTTGAGCGCCGCAATCTCCGACGGACGGGTCGTACGGAACGAGGACTTGCGAGACATTAATTCGCCACCATCTACCACAACAGCGACGTGAATGTACTTCAACCCCGTCAACGTACTCAAATTCTGAATACGCTTCAAGTCGAAGTCTCCAATGTCGTTCGGCCTGCTTGAATATTCCATAGCCTTCACGTAAAAGAAGAGCTTGGTGATGGCTCCAGTTTGAGCTGATGTGATGCGGGTTTTCAGTGCGCTGAGAGCGAAGTCGTTGTAGTACCAGAAACGATTGATGCTAGAAAATGGGACTAGCGCGGTTTCGGTATATATCTGCCGGCATGTCGACTGAAGCGCGACAAAGGGATTGTTCTCTTTTGGACCGCCTGGTAAGTTGGTGCGTGTGATTCTGACATTTGAACTGTGCCAGGATGCTACATCTAGCCAATCCTTAGGCCCTACCTCCAAATGTGTCTCGTGGAGAGCTATGCCGGCTGAAGAATTGAGTAGTCTGATGCGGTTCGTGATCCGCGACAGTTCCTGCTTAGTGTACTCTCCATAATCCACACGTCTCGATTTGATGAAGATGCTGAAGCCACCCATGGCTTCGGCAAATATTTGATTGCGGACCTCGATTGGTAACGTTAGGAGCCTGGAGGACTGGGCATTGCGTTGGCATATTCTCTCATTCTCTTCTGATTCTGGTGTGGCGTCTAGCATGCCGTCTTCGAGAAACTTTATTTTCGGGTTTGGTACAGTTTCTTGTTCGATTGACCTGCGCAATCGCAACAGCCGAAAGAAGGACTGAAGTACATTGTCATCGTCCGTCAGGCCAAGAAGCTGGAGCGAAGGTGACGCCGAAGTGTAGCTAAACGTGTCGTCGCTGATTTGCACCATCGCCAGAGCGTCGTCGTACAGTTCAAACGTATCCAACGCCTGATTAATGTTCCGTTCTTCGCGAAGGCGCTTTTCTTCCTCTTCCCTCATAAGATCACTTTCTATGTCGTTCAGATCGCGATTCTCTATGCCCCAGTTTAAGTCGTCCATATCAGTTGAGGCCATGTTAAGTTGTAGGTTTGAGCGTAGGTCAGTAGTCCTTCGTTTTCTGAGTTGAGTGTCGGAGCCGGTGAGGAGAGGAGCCGGGAAGGAATGTCAGACTGGGTTGTATAGAGAAAGGGAAGTAAATACCAGGCGGCCGGCACTCAATTGTCCAGCTGCGCACTGTCCATACCTTCGTGGGCACCATCACTGTCTCATATTCACGTGAAAGTCGCAGTCGACAGAGTGACTTCGAATAATCCTACTCCATTCACTCAGAAATCGTTCGTAGACGAAACCCGGGAATCTTATCGATTAAGTTCGTTGAACAACGCGTGTTTGTCATAGACCATATGTATCTTTAGCGGATACATGCTCGATTGCACATCGCCTCGGCGCGTATTGAATGCATGTCGAGTCCCAAACCTCATATATGAGAATTGCAACGACACGTTGCTTCCCAATATACCTCCAAGGCTTACTTGTAGTTTCCGACAAGCTATGTCTTGCTCTTTTGATAACGCAGAAGAAATGAAGAGTAGAGTGGACCGCACAAAAAGCAATGACAAGTCCAATGAGACCATGGGAAAGATAGCGAGAGGATTGAAACATTCACTCCCATAGGTAGTGAAGTCGAATACCGCAAGAAGCTGTATAGAAGTAACTCTTTTTGTCGACATCGCGCGCAATAGCGAGAGACTGGATGAAGAGAAGCCATTTCCTAGGCGTCCTATAATGGACGGCACACCAGAACAGATCTGAAACACGCCGGTAATTGCGGTACGAATAAGCAAACAAGGGTGAACTTCCGCTGCTCAATCTATATGATTCAATGGCTGCGAATGTAGGAAAATCGAAAAAGATGGTGTGCGACAACAAACGAGATCCCCACCGCGAAGCCGTTAGCTGCAGGCTGCATGACATTGTTCTCCGCGTTGATCTCCGCAGTCCGGCTATCCCTTCTGGTGGCTGATCGAGGTGGGGCGTCGCGGGACCCCTGCATAAACAACACCTTGCGATGGAGGACCGGGGGCTCTTGCGGTCCATATGGGAGCCTGCTGCCCTCAATGTTGTGGTTCCCCTTTCACCTTCCCCACCGCTTTTGGGTACATAATCTTACGCGCGTCCGGCCGCGATTGTTTACTCACAACATTTGTATCACCACAGCCATCACACCCCGCTTGACCCGCCACCACACTCGCCCCGGTATACATACGCACAACAGCAATTAGCTAAACAGCTACTACTATTCAAGGCGTTATGACGCTCCGCGACACATACACCAGGTTCCTGGCGACGCCCTCTTCGGGCGCGCTGGCGGACAATGCCTCGCTCCACTATGTCACCACCACGACCAGCATCAACGACGCGACTGCCATCATCAAGCACCTGTCTGTTCAGGAGAAGCTCCTAAAGAAGACCAAAGAGAAGGTGCTCAACGCGATTGAGGGCGGCAACGGCCTGAGTATCGACGTTGAGACGACTATCGAGTTCGTCAACGGCGGCGGCGCATACCTGCCAGGCCTGGATGACAATTTCGTCACCGACCGAACTGTGACGTTCCCTATGGTATGTGCCTGACTCAATCCACGTCCTCCCACCTCACTCAAAAGGGAAATTGAACATCTGAAGCCTACATTGACTCTCAGTCTTCTGCTTTGTGTATTCTACCACAATGTAGTCTGCAGACCTGTTCGGTTTCGTCTTGGATAGGGTGCGTGCCTTCTCCACGCGTTTACTGACACTGACAGGTGCACATGGTCCACTTTGACAAGTCGGGCAAGATTACACAGATCCGCCAGTACTGGGACCAGGGCTCTCTGCTCAAGCAGATCGACGTCATTGGTGCGCGCTCTCGCAACTGGCCCATCCGCGACAGCAGCGAACAGATCCGCCTCATCACATCCAACGCGGCAGCTGCACAGACCGAGTCGAGCGCATCGTCCCGGCCCTCAACCTCAGCTTCACGAGGCGCAGATGAGGTGTCCATCAGCTCCCGTTCGAGGGGATCAACGAACAATGCCATGAACGACCCGCACGCATCGCTCGCCCTGTTTGCGCCTCGCGAGGTTGACACTGAGGAGCGGGAGTCGCGCAGCTCTGGGCCGGCCGCGCCCCGCGCGCAGTCTGCGAAGCCGCCTCCACGCGAGTACTCTGAGCTGTTCGCTGGCGCAGGGGGCGACTCACCGTCTCCTTCGCCCCAGCGCATCCCAGCCAAAGCAGGCAGCGGAAAGAACTTCAAGGCCAACCGATTGTTCGAGGAGGAAGAAGACGAGCACCCAGTCGCCCCGATGAGCATCAAGACGAGTTCCAAGAAGTACGACCACTTCACGTTTGGCGAAGGCGAGGAGACACCCAAGGTACGAGACACTGCGCGACCATCCAAGCACGACCAGAACCGCAACAGGAACGACGCCCACTGGGACTTTGACGACTTCGCCACGCCGAACAAGTCAAAGCCCAAGACGCTTCCCAATGCCGTTCGTCACTTTGGCTGGAGCGACGATGAGGTTGGTGAACACTATCAGCCAGAGGCGGAGGTTGCTACATCTCTGTCTCTTGCTACCCAGCTGAACCCCTGCTAACATATACCCACCACAGGACACCTCCCCCGTCCGCCGCCCCATCGTGCACAAGGCGCGCCCAGACCAAGACGCCCACTTCGACTTTGTCGACGAGGGCACACCCGAAGGCCAGCGCAAAGCCGCACCCACTAAGGGCGGACGCAGCAACAAAGGCCAGGGCCTCTACGAAGACCACGTCACGGACAAGACAGACGAGACCAGCGGCGACAACAGCGACGCAAGGCGCGCCCTGAACGATGTAACGCAGTCCAAGACGCAGACGCGCAACTCCATGAAGACACACTGGGGCACGCACGCTGACTCGCCAGAGAACCGCGGCATAAACATTGCGGGTAATGGCATGGGTGGGCGCAAGGGCACAGAGGCTGCGTGGTCTCTCTTCGAAGAGAGCCCTGTTAAGAAGGAGAACAACAATGGTGCTGGTATCAAGACCGAAGGTGACGGCATGGGTGGTAGGAAGGGTGCGGACAAATCGTTCTGGGACTTTTAGGCGGCGTCTCAACCGCACAACCCACGGCTGTCGTTTACAGTACCTGCTGATGAGCGGCTGTTGAGGTTTTGAGGAGTGCAGATACTCGACTGGTGTTCCAGCGCTGCGTTTGTGTATCAGGTCGTTGTTGGCTCGTGTATTCTTGTCATCTTCTCATACCGCCGCTTCTGTCTGTTCTCTCAAGTGTCATTTTGCTTGTAAAGGGCATTTGGTATGACGATAGGTTGGATGGACATTGGCGTGGACGACTGGCTATGAGGGCTTATGCTGTAGCATGGTGACCAGACCTTTGATATCAGACAAGGCATGTAAGAATAAAGAGACTTTTCACTGAATCATTGTCGTCAAATTGTGATCTGACGTAGTCACCATTCCGATTCAACCACAGACAAGCGTCTCGACAAGTTGAATATTCTGATCATCGTACATCCCACCCTTGAGTAGCTGGCTCGTCTTATCTTTGTCCAATCGCCCGGGTCGAGAGAGCAGATCATACTCATAACAATAATGTACCCTCAAGATATAGAAGCCGTATCCTCATTTCTTGTAAAGACAATCTCAACTTCATCCCCCACCCTCCCCTTATCCATATCCCCATCCCAAGGATCAAACGTAATGGCAGCCTTCAACCCCCATCTCCTCCCCAACCTCTTCCGCTCTTCATACGAAGTCCTCGCTCGCATGCCCTCCCACACAGCACGGAACGCTTCGCCCTCTCCTTCCCTCTCTACCTCCTGTCCTTCCTCTGGATTATCGAACCAGACCCCCTCTTTCACAATACGGCGCAAGTCGTCGGTCGGTTCCATAGACGCCCAGATATCGACTGGCGCGTACTTGACACGCACTTCCTGTAACGGTGTTGACGACGACGTACCGCTCTCGTGCGCAGAAGTGAGCATAAGTAAGGCGTGCACGCAGACTTGAACCCAGTACCGTATCTTAAGCGGTAAAGCGAAGCCTGGTCGCGAGACGCTGCGACTCTGGTGTGAGCCCCGGGATATGAATCGTAAAGGAAGTGTTATGCTGCTGAGGTTGAACGCAGGCGAGGCGAGGTATGTGAAGAGGGGTGTGACTTCCATGGAGACGAGGAGGTCGAGTTTCGTGGCTATGTCTGCGGCGGAGGCTTCGCGGACGGGGTCGAGCGTTGGGTCGGCGAAGGGGTAGTGGTTTGAGAAGCCGAAGGGGTCGTTTGCGTTGAGGGGTTGTGTGGTCGGCGGTTGGCGGAAGGATGGGTATAGCGATGCGTTGGAGGCGTCGTACAGGTTGTCGTCGTAGGATCTGCCTTCGTGGTCGTACTCGTCGTAGTGGCCGCTGTAGTAGGCGCCTCGGATATAGTCGACGTCAATTTCCTCTTGGTCATGCTCCCAGTACCACACGTCCCTTCCTTCTTCGCGGTCAGGTGGGTAGTGTTGCAGGTTGGGCAGTTTTTCCCAATCTAGCTCTATCTTCTTCAGCCATTTCAGCCACTGTCTGCCGGGACCATTGGGTTCTTCAATCTTCTCTAGCAGTGCTTTCAGAACAAATGGTCCGCAGCTGAGGTAGACAGTATGGTTCTTGAAGAGTATCTCGAGGGCTTCACGGGCGACTTGGCGGTTGAGAAGGAAGTATTGGTGGCGGGTTATGAGGAGGATGGCAGCAGCACTGGGCTTGAAATATTTCAGGTGACGCCGCTCAATGGCTCGGTCGACGCTGAACTCCTGCGCAGCGAAAGTATAGTCATATATCTATATTGCCGTCAGCCTTAAATCCAGCGGAGTGGCGGCTGCGATGCGTACTTGATCCCGCAGCTCTCGTGGGAGCCTGAGGAAAGGGAAAACATGCGATGGCACAGCGTCCTCACGTTCAACATGCTCACCATCAACAGACACGGCGGATACGGCAGTGGCGTCCATGGTGCCTGCTCACAACTCACGCGTGCTTTTCGTGTTGCGAACCAAGCTTTGCCCCGC